TCTGCCAGGCCTCAGACGATACTGGCCATGGAGTCCACTTCGAATGCTGATTTTTCAGCTTATGACACTTTTCACAATTGTTTGCTGTACGACAAATATCTGCATTTATTTCTGGCCACCAACATGTGAGCCTCGTCAATGACTTCATTTTTTCAACACCTAAATGTCCACTATGAAGATCTTCTAGGACAGATTTATGCAATGAAGGAGGAATAGCAACACGATCATTTAAACACAAAATACCATCAGGAGTAGTAGATAACTCATCCCGCTTTGAAAAATAGATAAAAAATCTACGTTTCAAATTAGCATTCCAACCTTTCCGTATAGCATTAATTATACATCCAAAGTATTTACGAGTTTCTCTAATGAGATCTGGACGTTTCACTGGTAAAGGTTGCACTAACAAACAGTCTGAAGTATTCACGGGTTTATCTTGTAATGACTGTCGAGAAATGTAGTCAACATGTTGAGTTTGTTTGGCACTCCTGTGCTGAACCGTATAGTCATAGGCACTCAAAGCAATACTCCATCGTTGAACCATAGCAGCTGAGGAACGTGCTAAGGATTTTTCAGGATGATAAATAAACTTTAAAGCCTCATGATCAGTAACAATAGTGAATTTCTTTCCGAATAAATATTTATGGAGTCTTTTAACAGCCCAAAACACAGCTAATGCTTCTCGCTGAGTCTGTGAATAACCTTGTTCAGTAACAGTAAGTTTGCGTGAAACACAAATAACTGGTCTACCCTCCTGTTCCAAAACTGCGCCAATACCCACAGGTGATGCATCAGTGATAAGTACAGACTGTACACTAGGGGAGTAAGTTCGAAGAACAGCATCACTTTGAAGAAACTTTAGTAGACTACGTAAGCATTACTCTTGTTCCTCACCCCATTTAAATGAATTGGATGTCAAAATATTAAATAAACAATTCGCACGACAATAAAAATTAGGAATAAAACGGGAATAGTATTGAAGAGCACCCACTAGTGAACGTAGTTCCGTAAGATTTTTTGGAGACTGTGCATTTGTCAGTGGAGCTAGTCGTTTCATATCTGGTCTAAAACCATTACCATCAACTAGGTATCCAAGACATTCGAAATTAGATACACAAAATGAACACTTATTTGGATTCACTGTAATATTCTTCTCAATTAAACGACGCAATAAAGCAATAAGTCTCTGGTTATGAACTACCTTATCAGAACCATGGACAATGAGATCATCTTGATAAACTTCAACGCCCTCAAGGTCACTAACTACATTATTCATGACTTCCTGAAATATAGCTGGAGAACAACTTAGACCAAATGGAAGGAAATTGTATTTGAACAGACCAAAAGGAGTATTAATTGTCGTCAAAAGAGATGAAGATTGATCTAAAGGGATTTGGAGATAAGCATCTTTTAGGTCAACTTTCGAGAACACTTTAGAACCATGAAGTCGATTTAGAATATCTTCAGCCTCTACCATCGTGCACGTTTGCTTCAACAAACGGGAATTCAGTGTTAATCTATAGTCACCACATATTCTAGGGGTTTTGCCATCCGACTTCAGTGGCGTAACAATAGGAGTACCCCATGCTGAGGACTGGATCGGTTCAATTATGCCGTTTAATGTTTTATGTACTGCCTCTCGACGACCATAAGGAATTATTCGTCTTTTAAGAAAGACTGGTTCACCCTGTACTTGAATTTTTTTAGGCTGAATCTTCATGCCTCCACTGCACTTAGCACACGTGGCTATCAAATCTTTAAGTAAAGCATCATTATTTTTTTTAGAAACTAGGAAAGACAGCTCCACTTTAAGCCTTTTCAAATTCCTTAAGCCCAGTATTGACAGTCCTGTTTCGCTAACTAAAAATTCACAAGGTATGTACGAAGAATTATCATCTCTTATTAGCAACTCACAACATCCTCGTATAGGCAGTCTGTGTCCAGTAATCCCCAATATTGATACCTCAGTGGGTCGTACCACAACATTAGGATCTAAAGATTTCAAGTTCTTGAATGAAATAATGGACTCTATACTGCCTGTGTCCACAATAAAGTCATGACATGAACCAAGAGATGTATATAATCGCTTTTGAATATGAGCATTACCTTTCGAAACAGTAGACAAAGATAAATGATCATTAGGAACAGCTGAATCACTGGGATCTAAATTACAAGATTTAGTACTACTTGAGGCAAAATGAATAGTAGCTTTGCATACTGATTGAATGTGTCCTATCTTACCACATCTAAAACATTTAGCATTACGAAATGCACATGAATTACGAGAATGAATTTTTCCACATGATAAACATTTGCCAAACTTGGTCTCACCTTTGTGATTTCCTTTGTAATTCCTTGTTGAGATATCTTTCATATTTACACGAGAATAGGAACCACTGTTAAACGAACGCAATTTTGATTGACCCTAAGATTGTATTCCATCATGACGACTAAGCAAAGTATTAGAAATATTCATCGACTGGATATCAAGTTCATTCACTGCCTCGTAGTTAATACACGCAGTTCTAGCATCTTGAAAGGAACAGTTCGGCATTCTTAACAGCTCTCTTTCCAAACCCGGCAAGTTAATTCCAGCAATTAATCGATCTCTCAGTTGCACATGAAGTTGATCACCAAAATTACATTTGGCAGCTTGTTTCTGCAATTCAAGAATGAATTCCTTAATCTTTTGGTCATTTTGACGAGTCATCTTATGAAATTTAGCCCTTTCACGGCATTCAAAACTAATGCACTTTACATGATTTAATAATAACTCCTTAATAGTTGCATAAGGAAGTGAGATAGGTTTTTCTGGATATGCCAAAGTTTTCAATAAGCTGTATGCTTCTTTTCCGATGAATGTCAGGAAATGTGCCACAATTTTATCACATTTAACATCCTTCTTGGTCATGCTCCAAATTTCAAACCTTTCCAAATAATCCTCAAAAGCTTCAGAAGTTGAATGAATATCTAACTGTTCCATCGCAGACTCCATCGCGACGCCAATATGATAATTAGGAGTAATTGAATTATAGTATGAACTAAGAATCCCAGGGATAACGCAATTGAATCAAGAAGTACTACACAAGCACTAACGAATGTACTGTATTTAGAATTCGAAATCAAACATTCAACAAGTACAAAGGAGTCATTACTTCATTCAAACACCACAATTTCCCAGTTATCTTATGTTCGGCTTTGAGGATTGTGTTGTTAGGACCAATACAACTACAGTTGATTGTCTAGATGAGTCGGTTTTAGTCCATCATCACCTTCGGTGCCTGAGCCTTCAAACCTTTACGTGACGAAATTTTTGGATTTTCTTGAGTGGCTCTTCGAATGGTGGTCCTTTTACTTTGATACATCTTTTCCAGACATGTGTAAAAGTGCTTTTTTAGTATATGGTAGCTCGCGACTATCAACCACTTCAAGCCTGAGCGTTTGATCTCGGGATTGATTCAGTTGCTACTGTTTCGGACATGATATCAATTGTTGATATGACTGTTTGGGACATCATGAGTCTATCTGTACATTTAAATAAAACCATTAGGACGCAGTAAAGAAAACCCCGATGATTGAATCTGCATATCGTGTAGCTTCTGACTGTTGTAATACTGGATGTTCCATAACTCAGTTAAGTACATGGTTTTGTATGCTTGGCCACATGAACCTAGTATTCATTAATTTGGCAGAAGCTTTGAAGCCGAGACAAGTTATGTTAGTTAATACCTCATAAATTCTCTCATATTATGGGGATGGAGGGTCGAGTTATCACCTTGGTTGAATCACATAAGTTAGAAATACAACAATAAGATGATGGTAGCTCTTTAGTTTGGGACTGAGGCTCTTCGCTGAAAGTAAATTTGTAGTTGTATTGGTCCTAACAACACAATCCTCAAAGCCGAACATAAGATAACTGGGAAATGCATATTCAAGAATTAACACGAAGAGTAGGTCAACAATGGAGAAGGCGGGAATAATTCATTAGGGATTCAACCGGATGGCATGGCTCAGCCCCGTAGACGCAGTCATCCTGCATAACTTGTTTTTTCTCGCACTAAATATACTGCTCTACCTCCAGCCTAAATGTTCCTTAGAAACTCCAGACATGTTGTTAGATTGTTACGATAAATTAGTCAGTGTAGAAAATGATGTGATGTCCACGTAAGATCCTATCGATCAGGTAGTCACATCATGAAAAATCTACAATTTTAGGATCGGATCCATTATTAGAGCAGTGCTAATGACGAAGTAGACCATAATTCTACAGAACTACCATATGTGACACTAGACTGTTTGTCGGTCGCGATCACAGAGCCAGAAAGAAGCGGTGATAACTACATACACACACTATAAAAAAATCAGGTGTGCACAATACGTTATTCAGTTCGGCGCCCTCGGTCTCATCTTAATTCTAAACCGTCGCTACATGCATACAAAACAATTCAGTATTGAAAAAGTCTCTTATTTGGCGTGTGTGTGTGTGTACGTGAGAGAGAGTTCAAAAAAGCAAAGTGCGTTTACTTACACTTCGCCTTACCATTCTTCTTCAAAAAGGACGCAAAAACGGTTTCAAAATAATTGTAGACTTTAGCGGTTTTTGACCCCTACTTCCTCAAATATTTTATTTTTTGTATGTGGATGTAGTATACGTTTAAGCTACTTAGCTCGTTATAAAATCAGTTAACCCTCTCAACAATTCAACGGGAAATATAAAGCACAGAGTGCATAAGACTGGTTTTAAGTCAGAAAGGAATGCATGATCTTTGATTGAGTTGAGTGGTATACAGGCTACGCCTGTGGTGCTAAGATCTTGGATTCTCACCTCTGAGATGTCGGGCACTTCGACGTAAGAAACCATCCTACGTTTCTCAGTTTTTTCAGTTCATGTCGAACCTTGATTGAAACTACGAAAACCGAACAAATTTTACAACTGCCTTATATTACTAATAGCAAACATTGAAATGAGGATGAATAACCTCGTTCCTTCGGGACGGTGACCTTGGTACATTACATAAATTCGTTTTGTGTTCACTCGGTTCGTGTAATCTGATTTACTTGTCTTAGAGTTAGAATTTGACATCTGATTGATTTTTACTATTTGTTAAGTTGTGAAATCCCGATCACTGAGTGCAGTTAATGCAAACATTAACACGTGGATGATGACTTAACGCCTAAAATCTTCTATTTATTTCATGTGCTTGAATTATGTTTGTGGGCTTTAGTCGAGTTACTCCATAAATTGTTTGACTTCAATAAATTCCACGTAGGAAAGTGTGTTTTTGGTTAATAATTAAAAGACTAAGAGATTCTTGCCAATTTTTACGTATGATTTATCTCTCGAATAAAACAACTATGGTAATAATCCACCCGATAGTTGGCCAGTCAGTGAGAAAATCTGTGTGCAAGAAGATATACAACTGATATATCTTTCTGTGTTCTAATCAAGGTCTAGTTAAAGAAAACAGTTAACTTGAGTTGAAATATATTTGTTGGAATCCGATACCGGAATTCAAATTGTTCATTTTTTTATCAACTCGAGTATCTCGTCTGTCTTGCTCATAACAATCTTTTGGGCTCGTAATTTGTCAATTGTTAAGTAGAGGCTTGAAACGTTTTAACCCTAGAAATTATGTGTAAACAGCAGTATGGTGCGAAAAGTGATGAATTCGGAAAGTTAAAAGTACAAAATAGTATTGCAAATCAAAATCGAGCAATGCAGAAAGATTCAGTACATCTACGTCATCACACTCAAGATTGTTAGCCTTTGATCGTGGTTATAATGCGAATCCAACTTGATTGTCAGCACTTTCAGGCTGTGGTTTGCCATAATTCTCAGGTTGCTGTGAGCGAAAACTGAGACCTATCTTCATTGTTCACTACATATTTGATAAGTGATGATGATTGTTGATTTTCCCTCATTATATTTATAAAAGATGACTGCCTAAATAATTTTATTTCATTTGAAGATAAAACGGTTCCTTTTCTATTTATGGGCAATGCTGCATGTCGACCCAGGTTGTTTTATGCGAATATAGACAATTTACGTTCAAGATATTTTAAAACTTATATTTTAGGGAGGCGACTTCCTGACAGCTATTAGTGCAAAATACATTTAGCATATTTATAGCCTGGTTTTATTCTTTTTGGCAAGTTTTCGCACTTTATTTTTGTCGAAGGGGTGTTTCAGCTCTTCTGTCTTGCTAATCTTCAGGGTCAGAGTTTGTGATTCAGTACATGGATCCTTTTCAAAAGCGAGATAAAATTCCACGGACACCACCTGGTCAGTCTTTTGTGGACAGATCTTACATCTTTGATGGTACAACAAACGGCGACTGTTCTATTTACGACGAATCGGGTAATCGCAGGACCTCTGTTTTTGATACAGCTAGAAAATACACTTTGACTTTTGATAACCATGGGAACACAAGGTAGGTTTTTCTACGTTATGAATAACTGGCTGATTGAATTTCTCTTTAATTATGATATTCATTCTTGATGATAAGTTTTCTAGTTGTATTTACTGTCTTAACCTTTTACTACTTGTCTTTCTCACCTTATAACTTAGCCTTCGAACTTCATGTGACATAGTTTCACTCGATATTTCTTTGTCACTGAAACCAAATAGAATTTCTAGAATTGGTGAATTGCAGACAAGTTCACATATGGTATCCTCTAGACATTATGGATTGTTTACATCATCACCTGTCAATGAGTCTACTCCCCATCCAACTAAATATCCCCAGGTGTGTGTTTTCTTTTATCATGGTTCTTATATAATGTCTGTATTTAACCTTAAATCCAACGGTTTATGGGTCTTTGAAACTAATAGGAACTTGATTGCAAAAATAAAAAAAACAGAAACCTAAGAGAATATGTTGAGATTGTGCTAAGTGCTTCATACTTAAATGAAAATACGAAAAAGAATGATAAACGATGTAAATTAGCCATACAGATCATTTTAACCATTTCTTTATGAAAATTCATTTTAGAAGGAATGTAATAAACAAACAGTTGCCAATTGCACATCTCCAGATAAGGAGAATATTGCACCATCCAAAGAAGTATGTCCAGAGATTGCTACGGTTAAAAAGTGTCGTGCCAAGAGAAAACGTGACATATCACCTGACAGTTCAGTCGTTAATTCGTCGGTCCAATCAACTTTTGCTGTTCCTTCGACAGTTCGGCAGCTTCGACCCAGACGCAAGGCAACTCCTATCGTCAATGACCAGTCATTGTCTCTTCAGTCTGAATCTTTAGTGATGACGAAAAGTTCCCTAAAGAAACCAAATATGAGGTCAACAAAAAGGTAGGTTACATAAGATTTCGTATAACACGGTTGTCACAAAGTTCCATAAAAATGTAAGTGATGTCTGCACAAATTTAGAAGAACGAAGTAGATAAGGGTGTCTAAGACGAACGTGATGTAAGTCCATGAAACCATTAGCTATTGAACCAAGCCATGCATATAGGTACATACTACCTAGTTCGGCTCCGTGCGATTATTGTGACCAATGGTTAGAGACTTTTAGTGACTTGACTCAAAATCGTTCACGATGGTCCTCATGTAGGTCCCAAGTCTTAATTTTTCATTTCACGAATCCATATTTTATTTTCGAACGATATCTTGCTTGATTAATCTTTTTCACCTCTGTTGATGCTGTTTCCGCACATACCATTGTCACATCTGGTTATGCTGTTGTGGTGTGCAAACTTGAACCGACACACACATATCCTATGTTATGTTTAGCTGACTAATTCATTCACCCTACATGTAAAATTTATTCTGTAAAGCTTATCATAAATACAACTGATCTGATTAAAGTAAAGTAATTTTATATATTTGATCCGTTTAAGGGAACAAACTAATTCGGCTCATCTGCCTGAGGTAATGAATTCCCCAGTAGTTATTGCCGATCCTGTAACTCCTCCAACACTTGTTCCTCGACACAGGCGTGTACAGCCAGCCAATACTCAGAGAAGACGACGTGCGAATGTTAGCACTTCGTCTACTTCTTTGGATCACAGTAAAATGTCAACTTCTAATTCAACTGAAAATGACTCAATTATTCATCAGCCATCTACTGTTCGGGTATGTTGGTACCCTTTTTAAAAAAACTATTTCTTTTTGCATATCGTACTTTAAGTTTCAGTATTGGTCAGATAGAATTAAAAATTAGTCGCATCTTAGAAATGTTTTGTATTGATCCAGTAATCTGAATCGGTTTTGAAGTATTTGTCTTGAGTTTCGAAAGCAAGCATATTGCCTCCGTGAATTCAATAGAAACATGGATTTGTCAGTACTTTGAAAATTCTTTTCCAGTGAGCATTTATTTAAAAAGATTGGAAATAACGAATTATCAAAGTATTTATTTGATTAGTTAATTTAAGGAAATCAAATATTTCTCATAAAGATTCAAAAGCCTCACTAATTTGCTATGATAATATTTCCTTTGTTATTCCATAAATCTTTCTCACTGTAGTACATTAGATCCAGTTATTGTCATGTATATGGTCTAGCTGTACTCTGAAGTGATTTCAGATGGTCACATCTCAAAATTTAAACATCTTGTTTTTATTTTATATTCTAGGCTGGTATTGTTTCTAGAGAACGTTTCAACGGCATAGCCGTCTTTATCCTCAGCGCAGTTTTGCAAAAGCACTTGCAGTATATTCAGGTCGGATAAACCAGCCAAGGCCATCCCCATAGCTGATTGTTCCCGCTGTTTAAACTTTGGTTTAGAAAATCACATGTCACAGTCATCAAACGAGTCAGCAATCTGCTATGCAATATATTCATACTCAGAGGACATTTATAGATTACCAGTATTTGGTCGTATGTAAAACATTCTCGCGTATGTTAGAACATTCGAGTGAGCACTAATTAAGTTAGACTCAGGGTAATAAGCGATTCCGTTGGTGTAGTTGTGAATCATCATCGACTGAGGTTGTTGGGACATGCGTTACTCACACCTGATCATCGTCTGTCAATACAATATCGGCTGATGTAGTAATAAGTTGGAGAAAAAGTGGGACCGGTCAAATCAAAACGTGACGTCAGTCCACAAAATAATTGACTACCGTTCTAATCCTGATTGAGGTCCACCCGACTACCACGATTAACAATTAAAGACATGGAGTGATGTAGCTCAAAATCGGTTTGCATAGTGAAGATGGGTTGAATTCACGCCTGTCTATTGGTTCTGATTTTTAGAGTCATATTATACTTTTTACCTCGCTAGTTCATAGTTAAAATTATAAAGCGGTTTTACTATAGTGATGGGTATTATTCATCTAAATGTGCATGGCCATGTGATAGCATTTGGAGAGGGAGAGCGGACTCTCCTTCGGCTGTACCAGGACCCTCTTTTTGAATAACCAGATGTTGTTTCAATACTGCGCTATTATATATTTTCTGATCTATTTTTAGAAAAAACCAAAGGTACAAATCGCTTATAATATGTGAGTCTTACCACATGCCTATTTATAATCATAAATTAATTGGTGCATCCATATTTATTGATTGCATTTATTTTCATGTTAATTTCTTTGATGAAGTGATATAATTCGGAGAAATCACTGAAAACTGGAGTTGTCATGCAACTACTCAGTTTCTTTATTGATACTAAAGTGTTCTGTTTTGAATCCCACAAGTCCAAATCCAGTACCGACATATTTTGCGAAAATAACATGTGTATTGATCATTTTATTGTATTATAGGGTTTATTTGTTGTATGCATTTAGAAATCGGAAGCTTCATATTAGTATGAAAAAACACAAAGGTTCCTAGTTCTCTGCATAGGGTTTGATTGATGATCGTTGCTGTGATGCTACAAACTAGGATTAAACTGGTATTTCTTCTGTAATGGACGGACTATCATGTTTATCTCTCATCTTTAAGAGATCAATTTCAGCCTACTTATAAGTAGCTTGAATATTTAATCAAAAAATCTATTTATTTAACACATTCAACCTCCAAGTGGAACATTCAGTACCCTGACCCGGATACAGAAAGCTTAATTATTTCATATAGAAAAGGGAGTCACAATATGATTTATTAAGATTTATATTCCTGTTGTCCACTATCACATGGAAAGTGTAGAGAATAAGGGAAAAATTGGATGTTACAAATTTCTACTTTTATTTCTACCCAGAGAGAGTGGCCCTCTCCAGTAGATATGATTCATTAAAAGGAAACTAAGTACTTAAAAGGGATAGGATTGTAGAATTTCAATATCAAAGGAAAGTATTATATAACTGAATCTCAATGACTACGGCTGTCATCAACATTCATGATGAAAATAATAAATTCCAGATAAAAAATTTGTGTCATTTTGTGAATTGTTCTGAACCTCTAGTTATACACAGGACACTGGTGGATAATTTATGCTATTTAACACGTTATTGACGTCTGGAATACTATCTGTCTAAAATTAGAATGATTGGTTTAAAGACAATTATTTCCATTGTATAAAAATGTGAAAGATCCGCTATAATCTCGTTCATAATTTTGAGATGTTCGGAAACAAAATAGAACTATTCAGTCTAGATTGATTCATCAATGATTATTGTATGATCTCATAAAGTTTTTTATGTGACTCAGTAGTGAAGTACAGATTCATATGCTGTTTTGAGCTGCATACATTTTCCGTACGTGTTCTCACTTATTTAATACATACAAAATCTGGTACAAATGGACACCAAAAACAGAATACACCACATAAACACAGATATAACATTGTAGAGAAGGAAGGAAAGGAAGAGAATACAATCAAGATAAAAAACAATGGTGATACTACTCCTGACTGTCCAGATTGAAGTAGGTGTTTGAGGGTGGAGGTTTTAAGCTTTGACTCAAAACTGTCTAATGATATGTGTTTTAACAAGTAATACAGTGCTACATATTTATATCAAAAATCATCATAAGATTGTAAAATATTATTCTATCAAGCACAGAGATTACTAATTACCTATGAGAATAGAAATCTCACTTGTTACTCTCGACTTTGTCTTCAATAATTTATCTAATTATATTGATAAAGTATTTCTCACTGCATTTGTAGATATTGAATTCATTCAAGGAAAAAACGAACAAACAGTATTCTAGCGTTCAATTATGTATTAATAACATTGAGTAAATTTTCATTGATTTTATTACTTTTGACTTCATGGACAGGAAAAATAAGCATAAGAAAGTTTCAATAGTTGAGATCATGAATCAATTGAGGCTAAACCACTATGGAAAACCTGGAAGCACTGGACGGCCGTTTCGACCTAATATGGGACTCCTCAGCAATGCGCATCCACGACCCCGCCCCTCGGGTTTCGAACCCAGGACCTATCAGTGCTTACAGTTTTTCCATGGTTGTCTAGCTTCAATTGACTCATGATCTCAACCATTGAAATTATTATAATCTCCACAAAACCTATTCTAATAAGAAAGTTTGTTAAATAAATGTTCATCTGAATTTCAGTGTTCATTCTTCCAACTATATTATTTTTTGTTTTCATTTAAAAAAATAATAACTGTTCATTAACTATAGTGAAGACGAGCCAATAGCTGCACGTTTACGGCGTAACACACGTGTGTCTTATACGGGAACAAAACCTTCAATGTAAGTTTTCTTCATTTTTGATTTAAACGTCAGTACTACTCGTTTTCAATGTTATGTAGACATTTATGTGCATAGATACTAGAAGTCGTGTACAAGTTAAATTTACTCAAAGATATAATCTAGAAAAAACTTCTGTTATTATACTATTGTGATGTGTGTTACTGATGTCGACGGATATAAGTAGTATGTACTATCAATCGAAAGTGAAATGTCTGGTGGCAGAAGGTTAAGATTTATTATTTATTTATTTATTATAACACATAGGTATTGGTACAAGGAGGCACCAAATACATATGCGCCACACGAATCTCAATTGATTTGTGTGAGGGCTGTGATACTGCTCGGGTGCCCAAACCGAAGCAGGTGGTTTTCTTAGAGGGCCACACCCCGAGCCTTCGACCTGAACGTCTGATCCACAAGGCAGTGGAGCATCGTGAGGAGATGCAGTCCCATGGTAGCCGGTGACCAACGACTGGTTCATACGCCATTTTTCCCTCAGGATACTGGAGCCCATGTGCACCATTGATTTGGGATCCGGTTAAAGCGCCGGACATTCGCTCTTCGTCCTCTCATTTTCGTAAACAACACCCCCGCCACGTGAAGGCAGTGAGTAGGACTTCCCTGGCAGAGGCTATATACGCGTGGCCATGTGAGAGTATTTCGAGAGGGAGAGCGGACTCTCCCCACTCTCGGCCGTACCAGGGCATTTGGGGGCAGAAGGTTAAGAAGATCTAAGAGAATGAGAACAGAGAGTGATTGGTGTGAAACGAAGGAACAATTTATTCTTAGACAATTGATTGATATTTTGTAAATGAAGTGTTTATTATATGGTTCTACGATTTTCGTAAAACATTCTGTAATTGTGTGTTCAAACACATTTCGTTGTACCCCACTGGTGTTCTCATTCACTACGCTGTGATGCAATGCTCTGTTTGGGCGTCCGGACAGTATTCCAGCCCTCACACAAATCGAACCATTCGTGTGGGGCATATATATTTGATGCCTCCATATACAAATGTTTGTGTTTAAGTAAGTAAATGCTTGCCCCCGAACGCCCTGGTACGGCCGAGAATGGGGAGAGTCCGCTCTCCCTCTCGAAATACTCTCACATGGCCACGCGTATATAGCCTCTGCCAGGGAAGTCCTACTCACTGCCTTCACGTGGCGGGGGTGTTGTTTACGAAAATGAGAGGACGAAGAGCGAATGTCCGGCGCTTTAACCGGATCCCAAACCAATGGTGCACATGGGCTCCAGTATCCTGAGGGAAAAATGGCGTATGAACCAGTCGTTGGTCACCGGCTACCATGGGACTGCATCTCCTCACGATGCTCCACTGCCTTGTGGATCAGATCTTCGGGTCAAAGGCTCGGGGTGTGGCCCTCTAAGAAAACCACTTGCTTCGGTTTGGGCACCCAGGCAGTATCACAGCCCTCACATATCAAATGAGATCTGTGTGGCGCATATGTATTTGGTGCCTCCTTCTACCAATATTTATGTGTGTATGTCAATGTCAATGTCAAGTAAATGCTTAGTTCTGAAGTTATGTATGTAGTAATAGTGTGATATTTCCCTCTATAAACCACCGTTTCCTACTGTTTCATTTTAAAGGCTTCAAAAGAAGTAGTAATGTGGTGAACGAGAACTCAAGTGTAATGCACAATTATACGGTTGCTAAGCAAAATATGGAAATTATACATTAAGCACACCATTTGCACATCTTCTTTGCAGTGTCCTTTACATACTTCATTATTCTTCTGATTCTGTTGTTATCTCGATCGCTGTCTGATTTCCTTCTTGTTCTGCTCATTTCAATCTTCTGTTGGCAGGCATTCCCTTTCTGACTGCCGCCACATACTACTTATGTCTACCAACATATGTAGCATACACCACTGTAATAATGAAGAAAAAAACTATTAATACACTTGACCAGGTTATGATATTTTATAGTCTCTAGAATCGAAATACGTTCTTAATCTTATAAACCTACTATCATCAAGTAAAAGTCACTACTTCTTAGTTGCCTATTGTAATCAACCAAACTGTCATACACAATACCTTTGGTCATTATTGTTTAAAATACTGTTATTCTTTTCTTCTATAAAGAAATCTGTTAAAAACTTATTCTATCAGTTTTATTAAGAAAGTGCTATTTCACATTGGTTTAGTTAATATAACAGTCAGATACTATGTAGGACCAGGCACATATACGCATCGGTCCAAGTTTCCATACTTCATTAGCACAACAAGATGAACACTGGATTCATATAAGTAGTTAATTCAGTGGTGTTAATATATAAAAGAAAGATTGCATATAAGGATATAGTACAGGAAGAAAGAATTAGTTCGTAGAAAGAAAGATATGAAGCGATTTTAATCTTATAGTTGAAAGGAAGACAGAGAGCGTAAACACCTACGCCATTGTGATCGATTCTGAACCATGTCACCCAGAGTCTCCGATCATTGGTTACAATAGTCACGATAGTTAATATGTAGTAACTTTTGGACATGTGTACACTGATATATCTATCATTAAGTGAGAATTGTTTGTTACATGTAAGCATACAAATGTTCAATGTAGTTTTTCATAATCAATGTTTTAATTTAGTAATATTATGAGTAGTATATTCCTAAAATGATCATAAATAATTATTAGAAACTTGTTATGCTCGTTTGATTTTGATACGATTGAAAGAATTTATAAGTCAGGTGGATAATTTCAATAGGGTTTTGTTATCTATGCTGGGTGGTTTATGATAAGTTTTCAAATAACCTCAGACTAAATGTACATATTCATTATTTATTTATTTAAACACATGAATATTGGTACAAGAGGGTACCAAATAGTTATGTGCCATATAAACCATTCGATTTGTATGAGGGCCGGGATACTACCTGAGTGCTCAAACTGAAGCAGGTGGATTTCTTAGGGGGCCACACCCAGAGCGTTTGACCTAAAGGTCTGATGCACAAGGTAGTGGAGCAACGACAGGAGATGAAGTCCCATGGTAGTTGGTGAGCAACGATTTGTTCATACGACATTTGTTCCTTCAGGATATCGAAGCCCATGTGCACCATTGGTTTGGAATCAGAGTTTTCCAACTCCTCTAGGTGGACTCTCCGTATCCATCAACCCGGTTAAAGCTGCGGACATTCATTTCTCGGCCTTTGAATTTGGTAAACAATAGTAATGCCACGAGAAGGCGGTGAGTGGGACTTCTTTGACAGTGGTTGCATGTACGTGGCTATGTGAGAGCATTTGGAGCGGGAGGGCTAACTCCTTACCCTCGGCCGTACCAGGGCATTTGAGGGCCACGAGAGAAAAAGCACAGTGTGAAAGAACGCTTTGCTCCAAGATTATTTATGCACAGGAAATCGTGGGTATTTCTAGTATTTCAGATTGCCTTGTGTTTCTGGAAGTTTTTGGAACCACTATACTAAACATAGTATCAGTATAGACAATTATCCATTCAGAAGTATGACATGCAATTCTTCACTTACTAGATGTTTCTGAGAAATTTCTATTCAACTCTGATTAGATAAAATATTTCCTAGTGTTTTCAGTGCCCCTTTGAACTTTCTTGAGAAATACTTTTGATCTCCTTAACACCTTTCTTCTTTCACAAAATAAAACTTCATCTTAAGATCTAGTTGTCATATCAGTTTGATAAAGTTCGCTTTGACTGTAGAGGATAGTACCCTCTATATCTGACTCCAATAAATAGTATCCCGTTAACTGAGTATTTAATGCGGGCTAAATCTCCTAGTAGAATTATGGATTTACTCGGGATTATTCAAAAGCCTTGAACACCAGTTATAACGATTGTTTATTGTTAAAGATTGGTAAAATCCGCAAGCGTACAGGAAGCAAGCACATAGGGAAACCAAGTGAGTGTGTGTGTGTGAGTGAGTGTTAAAAATCCGTATATATTTATGAGTGTTAATCAAGTATGGATAAATTATTGATCGTTTGTGTATTACAACCAATGGGAGAATAGATTTAAAATTGATGTTCAGACATGTGCTCAATCAAACTCGCACAGAAAATAACATAGTGGATCAAGTGTCTAAATTATAGTGAGCAAATAAATAATACAGTAGTGGAATGAGCTTACTACATTACTACCCTAATGTACTAATGATTGTTAATTCAATAATATAATGAATTCTACATGATTAAACTATCCAGTTTAAGGAACAAAACTTCATTTAAATATTGTTTATGTTTTAGACTTTATAACTAAATCAACTTAATTCTGTTATTCTTTTCATTAATTTATATAGGTAAATAATGGTATATAACTATATATATGTATAGGGGAAATTAGCCTCTATATTCTGTACAAAGTACTTTGAAATCATACATTGATCTCTATTCAATAGTTATCTTATCATTTGGAAATTGCAATGTTTATATTGTTCATATCTTTCTAACTATCCTTTCTCCATGTATCTATTTATATTTGTAGTTATATTCATTCCATATATTCCATTCCATTTCATTCCATTCCATTCGTTTCTTGTCTTCAGTTTATTATCTCTTTTCTTGAATGTATACTTTTGCATAGATTAACGTATACACCTTCTTTTTGTTTTCAATTTTACAATAGGATAAAAATATATTATTTTTTTTTTACATAATGTTTTCCATTTCCATTCAGTTTATACAGAGAGGTAAGCTTTTGTGTGTGTGTGTGTGAGAGAGAGAGAGAGAGGGGGAGAGGAAAGAGATTGTTCTGATCTGTTTAAGTTTAGATTTTTATGATCAGAAAAAAAAACTCAGTTGATTCATTTCAGTGTAATATATCTACTGTTTACAATTGTTTGATCACAAATATCATGTTTTGCTAGTCTGTTTTTACTGCTGATCGAATTTTACGGATCAAGTTATGATGTAGTCACCAGTTCAAGTGCATGTGATGTCAAGTCACTGGGTTGAGATGTAAAGTGGTTGAAGAAAGTCTACACAAAATCTTGGTTTCATAATATTCGTCTGTCGTCACCAAGATGTTGTAATCTTGAGGGAACTAGTATTTCCTGGCGGATCCAGTCCCGTATCACTAAGTTTCAAAATTGGAGACACTGCAATTGAGTTACTCAAACTTCAACTAACCAACTATCGGAACAAAATGTATATCCTCAAGTTTACAAGTACACTTTGCTAATGAATTCCAAATAGCAAAAACCTCAGTTTCATAATCTCTTGTCGATTACTTCGATTTACCTGACACAGCTGCCATTTGTAGTCCGGTTATTAATGCGTCCCATTTGTCTCAGATGGAAATTATGAGAATGGATCGATAACTAATAGAGCACAAGTGATAATCGTGTATCAACCTTAGTAAAACTGTGGGTCGTCTTTGTGTGTTGTTATTTGAAAACCGTGGTATTCAAATCGTGTAGTTTTCAATTAGCGAGCTATAGTATAGCTATATTAAGTCTTTTCCATTCAGTGTGTTTTACTACATTGTTTATCAAACAATGGTAACTCACAGGTGAGGATAAATTCCATTCTCATTTATAATCGCACCTGGTAATCAACCAAAATGAAGCGGGAATTATTATTACTCTTGTAATTCGCTATTTGTCGCTTTTCCTGGCTTACTTGAGAAATGTAAAGTTTTCTACGGCGAAAATAACACTTCAACATGCTACGGAGGTATTAAATGTTTGATAGTCGGTCGTGACGGAAGAAAAATCACAATATGGCAAAAGACATATTTACGCTTGTTACCCCTCGTGGAGGAACATAGGCCGCCCACCAGTATTCTCCACCCATCCTTTCCAGTCACTATTCATCGTTTTGACGTCTGCTTCCGATTCCTGATGTAGTGCGTTCTTCGGTCTCCCTCTTTTCCGTTTCCCTTCTGGATTCGAGGTAAGTGCTTAGCAAAAGACATACCTCCAATTAATTCTATAATAGAAATTATCCCGAATTATGTACAATTGATCGACTTTACTTACTTACGCCTGTTACTCTTCGTGAAGGAGCATAGGCCGCTCACCAGCATTCTCCATCCAACCCTGTCCTGAGCAATCCTTTCAACTCTTTCCAGTTCTTATTCATTCCTCTCATATCCGCTTCTATTTCCCGACGTAATGTGTTCTTTGGCCTTCCTCTTTTCCTCTTTCCTTCAGGATTCTAAGTTAGCGCTTGCCTCGTAATACAGTTTGATGATTTCCTCAATGTATGTCCTATCCATTTCCATCGTCTTTTCCTAATTTCCTCTTCAACTGGAAGCTGGTTGGTTCTCTCCCACAAAAGGCTGTTGCTGATGGTATCCGGCCAATGGATGTTGAGTATCATGCGTAGACAGCTATTGATAAATACCTGTACCTTCTTGATGGTGGTTGTTGTAGTTCTCCACGTTTCAACTCCGTACAGTAGAACTGCCTTGACATTGGTATTGAAGATTCTGACTTTGATATTGGTTGTAAGTTGTTTTGAGTTCCATATGTTCTTCAAAAGAAGGAATGCCGCTCTAGCTTTGCCAATCCTCGCCTTGACGTCTGCATCTGAACCTCCTTGTTTATCGACGATGCTTCCCAGGTATGTGAAGGATTCCACATCTTCCAGAGTTTCGCCATCAAGAGTGACTGGATTGCTGTTCTCCGTGTTGTGTTTGAGGATCTTGGTTTTCCCTTCGTGTATGTTGAGGCCGACTGATGCAGAGACTGCTGCTATGCTGGCTGTCTTTATCTGCATTTGTTCGTGTGTATGTGATAGGAGGGCTAGGTCATCTGCGAAGTCCAAGTCGTCTAATTGGTTCTACAATTGATCGACTAAGTAAATGAAATCATAATCGCAGTTAGTGACTAAGATACATTGAAATGACTTGGAGACGTAAAGTCTATCCCCAGCTCTAACTGGCTGGTCGTTTGTCTCGAGTATAGAAGTTGACCGTGTTTTCAATTATTTGGCATTGATACATGCTACCCAATTACAATAAGTAGTATAAAATGAGCTACAAAACATTTGTAGTAGAATTCAGGTTGTCACAAATTGTAAATCAATGTAACGTACCAAGTAATTAAAGGTTCTTTAGGATTCAAAACAAAAAGCAATTAAATAACAGAATTTAAAAAATTCAGGGTGCCTTTGTTAACTACTGGTTCTATTTCAGATTGACATTCCTATAAACTTGTAACGAGTGTAGACAACAAAGGAGAACCTTGTGCGCGATTGTTTGTTTGACCGTGGAAAAAGACTTGAAAATACTTAGCGACAGTTGCTTATGTGTTGGATTTCACAATATAAAGCAACAGAGGATGATCCACAGTGAAGTGTACTTTCCATTTGTTAATAAGACACAACAACATGAAGTTTCCAATAAGTAGAGTAGTCTACCCACTCAGCTACTTCACGTTCTATCGTTAGACTAGGTATTGACGTAGATCAGTTCTGAAGAAGTATTTCATATTCAGTAGGGAGAAAGGCAACCTAAAAATTCCTTCATTTTCACTTAAGGCGCTCAAAAGTCTTTTATGTCTGTATATTCTAGGTAGGTTAATGAGTCTTCATGTAGCAGATCACATCCTAACATAGTGATTTGTTTTGTGACATATCTATAGCGAAACTTGATAAAATGATAGCGAGAAACTCTGTCTTATCTTCCCAACATATCACATTAGAACCATGAAGCAACAAATATTCCAACCTAAATAAGTCTATTAGCTCGTCATGATAGTCAAGTTCACTCATCGCGTCAAGGTAGTTAAGACGAAATTTGCGTCATATTTCTTAATCAGTCATTAATATTCTAACTGCTACTTTTTATAATGGTCATTATTTAAAAAAGGTTTAACAAGCTAGTAGCTTTTAGAGAAATCCGTATTTTACGAGCTTTTTTATGTCGGTGAGTGTTGAGACACTTAACTATCTTCATTTCATATTCAGAAAAGCAGTCATTTTAATAACTTGTCAGTAGTAATTGGAATTAAATTAGCCTATAAGTACACCACATAGCAGCTATTTTCATCAATTTAAAATGTTTATTCCAGTTAAAAACCACTTAAAATCACCAAATTAACTCAGGTGAAATGTTTTAGTCTGTCAATAGGAGGATTATAAACAAAGTTGGATGGTGATTAACAGTGGAATTTGGGACGGTCGTTTCATCCTGTTTGAAATTTGTCAACATCCCAGAGTTGTTCACTTTGGGACTCCAGACTGATCAACATGAGTGGGAAGATTCAGACAAACAAAACAAAAATGTGTCAATAGGAGGGTTTCGTAAAATCATACAAATAAATTAATTTAGATTGTGTTTATAACGTCATTAAATAAGGCTACGACTTTGTAGAATTAAGACTCTCACATCACATATGTACTATCGTAATTTAGTTCAAGAATGAATTATTTTTTTCTGGTTAGCGGCTTTTTAGCGAATTAGTTTTCTACGGGATGGAGTCGCTTACCCCATGTCCAACCTTCCTTTTTTATCCAGGCTTGGAACCGGCAGTAGCTCCAGAGGGGCTCCATGCGGAGTTTAAAGCAGTTTACTAATGAACCAAATCAAACAATGTATAACTTAACTCTCTGAAGTCTCAATAATGTGAAATCTAATTGTCTGAAATGCTTATTGTTATAACTTTTGGGCTTGTGCCCTTATCAATGTATAACGTGATGATACCGCCAATTAGAAAACAGTGAATTATCGATCGGACCAATGATTCATAAAACTCGTTTGAGCAGTCTAGAGTGCTTATTGGTCCAGCTCCCTGCCTGCCTGTTAAGTTTAGAACTCCGGTCTCAACCACTGCGATATGAATCATGTATTTCAAACATACTGGGTTTATATACAAAACCAAACAGACCACACCGTACCAATAAAATAGGAAACAACATTTGTACAAGATTGAGCCAAATGTGGCAGTGAATGTGGGAGACTGTAATTAATAGACAGGGTATAATTCAAGAATGGTAGATCGTATAATAATAGTCTATGGGTCAAAATAAAGCTTATAATAAGAGGGACACGAATATGGATAGTTTAATTACTTGACAATTATACAATAAAAATACACATATAGTATTGGTCCATAAATGGGTTCCAAAAGTTACCATTTTTTATTCTCATCGGGATATAACACTCATAGAAGCAGACAAATTTCCTGTCAAATATATACAGTAAATAAAATACCATTACATTATTACTATATAGCAAATGAGGGAAAATCAACTTGGTATACTTCAAAAAGGATTAACTTCTGTTAAATATTTTACTATTATGGAATCTATTTGAAGATTATCTTATCGGTAGACTATTTATATTTATCGTTTTATTAATAACTCAACAAATCAATAAGAATGAAAATTTCATCCATATGGAAACTATGACCTGATTTACTTTATTACTCTTATGTAATAATTATTGAACAAGAAAGAAATAATAATAATTATTATTATTATCGGTAGATCTCATAGTTTATGATCAAATTTTGTTATGAAATAAGAATGTATACTCATATTATAGGTTATGTTTAGAAGTTTCGGTCAAATTTTGAATGTAAGGCATTGTGGTAAATGTTCCTTTCAGTATTGATCATCACACTGATATAGCAATCTGCTTTAGAAACCATTATAGGAGCTGGTACTATGTCAAGCCCATATACGTTATTTTAATCTGTGGAGAGACCAATTTATTCATACTTCTTGAGTCATGTTTTGACCTTGTCAATTATTCGCTTGTTAACCTTGAATGTTTTCATATGTGAGTGGGTATTGTTTACTTACCCCATTCATGATTTGTACGTAACATATATTGGTTTGACTATAAATATCAATGCATGATTGGTTAAACCGAGTTTGCTTATTCGTCTTCTCTATTGAGCGTCATTTCATTCCGTTTCGCTCTCTCTCCTCTTCTCTTTCTTCATTACGTCTCCCTGATTGTCTGTTTCGATCAACGATTGTACAATATACACGTATTCAAAATTCATTCTCGTATTTGAATTATTTTAATTCCGTTATTCATCAGAAGCTCTACTTGGCAGGAAAATACGGACACATTTCGATGTCATCCGTCCTATTCCAGTTCTTGAGCCTCAACGAAACCTATCGATGGAGAATAAGTTCAATCGACATTATGGGGCACAAAGACGATTGTTTACGGTGGGACAAAAAGTACTTGCTATGGACCA